ATTAGAATTATATATACTTTTTTTTTTCCTGTATATTAAAAAAGGTGGTGGTGGTGGTGATACAAATTTCACTTTATTTGTTTTATTTGTTTTATTCGAATTTATTATTGCTTTATTTGAATTATTATTGCATGTTTTATTTGAATAGAACCCTAACTACTACTAAGATTATAATATTATTTAGTATAAAGAGCTTTAGAAATATTTAATAAATAACTTAACTATAATATAAAAAAGCTATTGGTTTATTAAATTAAGCCAATAATTAACTATTAATTTTAGAAGGATATCCGATAAATAAATATTGGCACTTTCAATATCAGTATGCCAACACCCTGGTTATTTTTTTTAAAAAAATATCAGCCAGATATCAGATTCTGATATTTACTGATATACCCCATTACTCAATTCGGCATCATTCAACCAGTAAAAAAGTGAACCAATAGATTATATAAGCAAAGAAAGATGGGACCCTAAATTAGCACAAAAGAAAGTCTCGGATTCAATGCATTTTTTTTTTTTGTATATTTTAAATATAATTAATCATATATCTTTAATAAAACAAACGTGACTTAGCTATTTAATCACTTCCTTGCATGTGAATGCCTCCATCCATCAAATATTCACAATGGTCATGATTATTATTCAATATATTTGATGTTATAATTGGCATAACAAACAATTGCATCACCCAGGTAGTAATAATACCAAGGCCATGCAGAAATGAAACTCTTAACAATGTGTGTCTACCCAGATCTCTGGGTTCACAAGAATAAAAAAATATTTTCATAGTTCCTTATGAATAATAAATCTGATGTTGGTCAAAAGTGTCAGATTTAATTAAAACTTTCCTATCACAAACAATGAAGTTAAGCGCTATTAACTAACACCACCCAATAACTATGGAATTTTTTCCACAGCTTGAAGGCCGCCACAATGTTGGAAGGCTTTGGACAAAACTTTCCCACATCTTCTCCTCAGACCAGGCTTGGCTGTTTCCATATGGGTATTGATTGCTGATAGTTGGTGCTTGTGTGATGATTGCTTTGTATTACTCCAACCAGTAGAAAGTTGGTGTCTGCAACTGGTTGAAAATTCTCCAACTCAGGAAGTTGCAACCTGGGTTTTTGTTTTGGATTTTCCTGAATTCAGAGTTTTGAGTCCTGGGTTGCTGTCTGGTTGGTGGCATACCTACCTACTCACCAACAACTCTGCCCCATTTAAATAACAAATTCAGTTGGTCAAATAAAAATTAAAAAGAAACAGAAAATTTGGGAAAATGGTTAATTTATATGAAACATACCAAACAGAGAATCTTGTTGCTTTGATGGATCTGGTTGTTTACGTGGCGCTACATTCATCAACAGTTGCAACTTTTTGTCTAACATGCCAGCAGCCTTCTCTGGTCCGGGAAGATTAGTGAAAGTCATTGACTATTGATGCAGTCTCGGTAAACCGGCAAACCCCAGAGCCATGCACACCCCCCCCTGGAATTCTGTTGACATCAATATATCCTCGGGGCAATCTTGGTCGGTAAGCCTTGTGCGTACGAGGAAGATGAGAGAATGACTGTAAAGTGTTCAAGGTAACGTGCGTGCTTCAACGTCTGCCAGATTTCCGATAATCAAACATTGCACATTTGAATTGTTTTTTTTTTCAATAGTGTATAGCCTTGACATTTTATTAATATTATTGTTATTATTAATGATTATGAAAAGCCAATTACCAATCGTTTGCTATCATGATAAGGATCTCATTTACCCAGCAAGATCTGCTTTACGTTGTTTCCAATTAAAATATTTATAAACTAAAAGACTACAAATAAAAAAAGTAAGAATATATATATCATACGAATAAAAAATAAATAGTATCTCTGTTATTAACACACCTTCTTTAAGAGAATCACCTTGGAGACTGTCAAAAATAAAGAGAAAAAAAATCAACAAAAAAAAATCTTTGTACACCAATAATAATAATAATAACAACACTAGACAAAAAGTATTTGATCACATGTTTACACCAATTAGTAAAAAACCTATAGTTGGCTCGGTCTAAAGACCTCCTAAGTTTTGCATAAATTTTAAAAGTATAGAAGTCACTTTCTGTCCTATC